AGGGACGGGGGCGGCCCCCCCCCCCCCATCCCCGACTGTCCCTCCGTACCCACGAGCACCACGGTGGCCTCGGCGTTGTCCGGGATCTTCTCCAGCAGCTTCAGCTCGTGCTTGGACTTGGAGCGGGTGATGCCGGGGGGGGGCGCGGGGGCCAGGACCTCCCTCTGCGGGGACAGGGCTGGGCTCAGGGCACCCCTGGGGTGGGGAGGGGGTGGTGGGGCCGGGGGGGTGTGTGGGGGTCCCACCTCCCGCTCCACGTCGATGCGGGTGTCGTGCTCGGCGGCGTGGCCGGCGATGAGGGGCTCGGTGACGGCGGGCTCTCCGGCCCCGGGCAGGTGGGTGGCGCCGTGGTGGTGGCCCAGCAGCGAGCCCAGGCTGCCCGCCGAGATGTTGCGGGGGAAGGAGAAGTCCTTCTCGTCGCTGGGGTGGCTGCGGGACAAAGCCAGCGCTGGCCCGAGGTGGCCCCGAGGTGGCCCCGTGGGAGAGCGGCCAGCAGCCTGGCCAGCACGATGCTGGGATGTGGTCCCCAGGGGTGGTGGAGCCCCGCGGAGTGTGGGGGGGCTCTGGGGGGTCTCTGCCCCCCGCCACTGACCTGTGCTTGAGCAGCAGCGCCCGCAGCACGTTGGCGCGGTCCTCGGCCCGGATCTGGTCGGTGATGACCATCTGCTCCACCACCTGATGGGCCACCCCCGGCAGCGTCTTCTGGTCCAGGTCCAGCAGCACGGCCCCTGGGCGAGGGAGGGGGGCGCTGAGGCCAGTGGGGACGGGGAGCCCCCCCTCGCCCCGTCCCCAGGGGGTGGTCCCCCCCGTCCCTACCGTGGGCCAGGGTCTTGCGCAGCTCCAGGAGGCTGCGGAAGGAGAGAGAGGCCACATGGGGTTTCCCCCAGCGCTCGGTCTCCTCCTCCACGTCCTCCTCGAACTTGATCCAGCGCGCGGTCTCCTTCCACTGCAGCTCCTGGTTCTTGTCCACCACCAGCTCGTTCAGCTCCACAAACACCTGACGGGGCCGGGGGGGTCAGTGGGGAACCCCCCCGGGGCACAGCGAGTGCCATGGTCTCCCCATGAACCCCCAGTGCCATAACCCAGTGCTGTGGTCTCCCCACGAACCCCCAGTATCCCCAGTATCCTGCTCTCCAGTGCAGCCCCAGCCTGGCAGCCCCAGTGCCATGCCCTGGTGCCATGGTATCCCCGCATACCCCCCAGTATCCCCAGTACCATGACCCAGTGCCGTGGTGTCCCCATGCACCCCCAGTAACCCCAACATCCCCAGTGCTGTACCCCAGTGCCATGGTCTCCCCCAGTATCCCCAGTAACCCCCATGCCTGCTCACCAGTGCAGCCCCAACCCAGTATCCCCAGTACCGTACCCCAGTGCCGTGCTCTCCCCAGTACCCCCAGTATCCCCAGTACTGTACCCCCAGTGCCGTGCTCTCCCCAGTACCCCCAGTATCCCCAGTACTGTACCCCCAGTGCCGTGCTCTCCCCAGTACCCCCAGTATCCCCAGTACTGTACCCC